GCTCAATTGCCAGCAAAGAAGGCAGCACGACATCGATCTGGATGCCTATCTTGATCGACGACTGTTGTCCAGTTTGCATGATGTCCTGGCGCACCTCATTATTGTACTTAATAGGGATGTCGAAGGCGAGACTGCACGTCCATAACTCGCCCCCTTCATCATTCACGACCTCACTTATCGTCGTCTCGAAGATGTCCCACACCCCGAGCAGCCATAGTGCTACTTCCAGTCACTTGACCGGTTTTATAGTCTGTGACATATACAACAGTTATGTTATGAATGAATGTATATATGTAAAAAATTATATTAGCACGCAAAACTTAAAATATTCTATACTATTGATGGATCTAGGTGACGTGGAACGACCCTATCTGGTGATGGCGCGAATGAAAGATCGCCAGGGTGGAAACATGGTTCCCGTGGCTGGGGAAGTCCGCCACCATTCATCCTAACGAAAAAACTGAAAAAACAACCCAATAAATATAGAACCCCCATATAAATATACCATGCAGCAATATATATTAGAGAAACATATAAAAAATAAATCATCAATATATATATATATGCATACCAAGTAAACTTAAACATTTTGCACATAAATTTTTAAACGATTATTAACTCTCATCAAGAAATAATGTTGCTAACAAAAATCTAGAAAACAATAAATGTTTAAGGTTATGAAGAAATAATGTATAAATAAAAATAAAATCCACCATTATTATTTCTAATCTAAAAAACCACATATTTGAATATTTCTATGCTTATTACTAAAGCATGAAATAATCTACATTATTAACAATGAAATATTAGAAGATGAAGTTGCTAACCTTTAGAAGATTGAAGATGAAGCCGGTGGCCGAGAGCAAGAACTTGCTTCCCTAAACAAGAACACGGATGAACATGGATGAACAAGCAAAGACCAAAGATTTGACCTGTGTCTCGGGCTGGAGTGACAGTGAAAGAGGGTATATATAGGTGGGGACATTTAGTCCTAGTTGGTGGAGCCTACCGGGACTAAAGGATCAACCTATAGTCTGGGTTGAAGCCAAAATCCGGAATAAAAGGCTAGCAGGACCTTTGGTCCCGGTTGGTGGTTCCAACCGAGATTGAAAAGCAACCTTTAGTCCCGGTTTGAACCACAAACTGGGACTAAAGGTCCCTGCTACAAAATCCTGCTACACTATCCATTGGGCAGGGGATTCTAGTTCCGGTTGATGGTTCCAACCAGAACTAAATCTCCTATTACTCCCAGGCCAAATTCCGTCCGGGACCAACCAAAAAACCGAAAGTCTGTTCTGTGCGTGTGAATGGTCTTCATCTACATGCAACTAATGCAGGCTAAGAATGCACGAACCAATAGGGGCCATTGCTCGTTGGCGCCATCCGTTCCAGGCCATGAGACTCCACATTCCAGGCTATACCCTATGCGATAGTAAACCAAAGCTCCCAGTCGCTGGCACGTTCGACTCATTTCTTTTTTCTTCGATACGCAAAAGATTTGTGTATTATTATAATTAAAAAGAATAGTTTAATCGTACAAACGATACGTTTCTAATGAGCGCGTTAGGTGGTCTTACAGCTATAACTAGACCTTCCTAGCAGACTATTTCAGACTTCGATATTACATAAATGATATACAACCCAACTACGAGCACCGCAGCAACCTACGGAGCTGGGAGTTTTCGCTGCTGGCTGCGCAACCCTCCCCCGCTATCCGAGAAGAGCGCTCTTCTACCAGCCCTACTGTTAGTCGCTGGGAACAACTCGTCCAGAGCTATCACATGGCTCGGTGTCAAGTTCCCTGCGAATATGGTGTCGTATGTTCCGGACACAGATAAAACTAGAGCAACCGACGGCACAATGCCCATCCTATGCATGAGGAGTACCTCGCTCCGCTTGGAGGTCGGTACGTGTGCTAGCGGCTCAGCGGCAATCTGTGTACTCTTGATTGGCACGGGTCTTCTGATTGCCGCCGTTTGCCGTGGTGGAGCGGCGATCAAGTTCCAGCCCACGGAACAGGGATCTCTCTGCACCTCTACGTCCTGCCGACGCGTGTACTTGACACTACACCTCTGTGGCTCTGCGGTTCTGTCGTCGTCCCTGGGCCAAAGGCCGTTCAGGTGTTCCGACTTGGCAAGGGTCACAGCGACTGCCAGTGTTCGGCAACTGTGCATGCACCAAGACCGGGCGTGTGCGGGTCCCCCCGCAGGCCGTGTCTCTGCGAGCTACAAAGGCAAAGGCGCAAAGCTGACCTTGCTCCATCTATCTGCAGGAACGAGCTAGCTAGCTAGCGTGTGCTGTCGTCCTCGTCACCCTGTGTTTGTACACTTGGTACTTTTGTTTTGTATACCGTCGGTGATGATCAATGCCAAATGGCTCCAAGATGGTACTAAGCAAGTAGCCATATTGAGCAGCATCCATCTCCAACAGGGGCTGCGTACATCTACTAGCTATGTGATTGTGATCTCATCTATCTACATGGCTAAGCTGCAGTACAAGCAGTAGCTAGCGTCTATCTATCTCTTGCATATATACTTGCAGCCTTGCAGGCCACCCTGACCCGGCCCCTTGGGCGCGGCGCAGTATATAAGCGGCCGGCACCTGAAGCATCTCTTGTTATCAAGTGGGACTGTGGGAGTGTCCACCACCCAACAGAGAGAGCATCGATCGGGCACTAGGGAGACAGCGGAGCAGAGTGGCCATCGCCAGCCATGCCGAAGCTGCAGAGGTTCAGAGGAGTGAGGCAGAGGCACTGGGGCTCCTGGGTCTCCGAGATCCGCCACCCACTCCTGTAAAGTTCTTGGTCACTCATGTCATGCATGTTCAGTTGAGAGAAACATATATATAGGGAGTACTAGCTTTGTTTCTTGTCGAAACTTTTGCGTCAGCTATAGCAGACTAGCAGGCTAGCCTCCTGTGCTAGCTGGTGCAGTTTTCTTCTCTTCGTTTCGTTCCAAGGCATGCACGCGTCTGAAGTCTGAACGCGCCTTTGTTTGTGTTATTGCTGCGTCGTCTGTGCGTGGCGACGGTGCAGGAAGACGAGGATCTGGCTGGGCACGTACGAGACGGCGGAGGACGCGGCGCGGGCGTACGACGAGGCGGCGCGGCTGATGAGCGGCCCCGCGGCGCGCACCAACTTCCCCCTGACCGGCAGCGGCGGCGGCGGCGGCACCCTCTCCCCGACGCTGCGCGCGAAGCTGGAGAAATGCTGCACGGCGCCGGCGCAAGAGCCGCACCACGGCGCGGACGTGTCACGGACGGGTGGGGACGGCAGTAGTAGCCGCGGCGCTCGCCGGCGGGACGACGACGGCGAGGAGGCCGCCGTGAAAGTCGACCCCAACGCCGACGGCGGCGAGGAGTACATCGAGGAGATGATCAGGGAGCTCACCTACTACGGCCCCGTGGAGATACAGCACCACCCGCCGTCCGCCTCCTCCAGCGCCGCCGCCGCCGCCTGCTCGAGCTCGGCGATTCAGTGATGACCAGCTAGCTAGCCGCTGCAGTCGTCGTCACCATCTACAGCGTTTGTTTGTTTTGGTAGGCAGGCACATTAGCCGTCCGTTAGGTGGGGCCCGACCCGGAGCCGGAGGGATGGAACGCGAGTTGCGTTTGCCCGGCCGGGGCCCGTTCCTGTTCCTGGGCTGGGGATTGGGATTGGGATTGGGATTGGGATTGAGCGAAGCGAGCCTTGTACAGAACGGGAAGGGGACCAAAGGATCTTTCGGGATAAGGCCTCTTGATTTGGTTCATGATGTGAGGCTTGTTCTCGCCCTTGTCTACCGCGTTTGGTATCCTCGCTCTGCCTCCTTTATCTCTCTCTTTCCATTCCATCGCAAATCTGCGAGAGTTGTGGTTCATGCATTCACATGACGCGACGCGCGGTCGACAGATGCATCGATCGGATGCCATCTTCGGTCCTCTTCCTGCGAGAACCCGACACGTTGTCGTTTCCATTCTGGTGGATGGTGGTGGATTTGCATTCTCTCTCGAGCATGAGTCACGTCTTCCATCGATAGGAATAGGAACAGGATCGGCATCGACCACACGACACAATACTAGTGGCCACGACGACAGGCGTTGTGACTTCAGAGACACGCAGGCAACTGTCCCCAGTGCACAGTGTTTGCTCGTATGAACAGTCAAGGCGGGCAGTTAACACTTAAACAGGACGTCACGAACGAACCTTCAGGAGCGATCCATTTCGCCGTATCCGAGCACGATCCGAGGCCACTGTTTGGCCCATACACAAGTTGCTTGCTACACAACAACCTGCACCTGGGTTGTGCATGCGAAGCCGAGCCCCCACCCTCCCATGAACATGGCATGCGTCAGTGGTCACGTATCAGAAACCATCGTGGTGGTGCCACAGCCTGCACTGCTTGAAGCACAGAAAAAACTCGCAAGCTTATTATCGTAAAAAAAATGAAAGCAGCTCATGTAAGCACAACATAAAAAGGCCCAGTAGCACAAAACAAACATGATTACATCGCCTGAAATACCAGCACCCACAATACAGAGGAACAGCTCTGTCGCTGGATTCGCTACACAGGCCCTCGTTCGCTTGCTTAAAAAAAAAAGCAAAAACACCGTTCGACTGATTTATTGGGAAAAGAAAAATACCGTTCCGGCTCAAAAAATAAGCTGAAAAGTACGGATTATAAGAGAAGCGAACCGGGCCACGGTACACATACCTGATGGCTAGAACACATGCTAGCTGTCTGCCGCAATAAAACCAACACACTGTCTCTCCCCTTACCCACAGACTTACCAAAGCTAGATACTGAAACACACATCAAACAGCTACTGGTCCTAATGATCAACTCTAACCAGTACACGTGGTCATTATAAGGCCTACGATAATACAACATGGATACAGGTTGATGCACAATGCACCGTACTGTGGAAACGACCAGTTGGCGCTAGCTCTAATTAACCTAGGTATCATGTTGCCCTTTTGGGCCGTTAATATTAGTATACAACAATATAGTGCAGCAATGCCCCTACGTCGCTCTTCCTCTTGCTGTGCTTCGCAACACCCTTTTACGTCCTTGCTGAACATTGGATGATCTCAAGCCTCGCTTAGCCGATTGTTCTGGTTTTGTACCTGGGCCATTCTTAACAGAATCAACATCTGTAGCAGGAGCAGCAGACTCAATTAATTGGGTACTGGCGGGTGGCATAGCACTGCTCGAGTTAGTGTAGCTAGGATTATCATTTCCTGAAGATTCTAGCCCTGAGTTGCCATTTGATTGATCCAGAAGACTGCATTGCCAAGGGAACTTGGTTACATAAATGCAAATTCCAAACAAAAAAGGTGAGAGAAAAAAAAAGAATCTGCAAAGTTGTGGTTACCCGTTGACTAATGTTTTCTTGGTCGACCCATTCATTTTGGTCTGGGTTGGGGGACCTGCATCATTTGGTATGGATTCTGGAAAAAATTGCATAAAACCAGTAAGCCATTATAAGCACAGTACCCCCTGTTCCAAAATATAGTAGAGATTTACTAAGATAAACAATTGCTTGGATTCTGCTTCTGCTGTAGCACTTTCAGAATTCATACCAAAAGATTATTTACTAACCAAAAGATGGCACTATTTAATTAACAAAAACAGGCAGCCTCCAGAAGCATTTGGGATATCTAACAAATTTGTTGTACCTACAGGAAGTAGGCTATAGCGGTATAACCACACATCATAAAAAGAACTACCTATATGGTTTATACCAATGTTTAAGCTCTCACCAAACCTCAAGCAGCATAATGCCTCGCAATGTTTTTTTATCAACCAACCTCACAATGGTTGTAAAACCCATATAAACCTGGAACCAGGAGTTGTATTTTTTTTTTTCAACAAAAGTCACCCCAAGCATGAGTGTAGTGGCATTCCAACTGAAGCCAGGATTTACTGGCTAGCAACAGCAATTATGTCTTTCCTGAGCCTTGCAGGCAAAGTTGTCCATGATTTCTGGCCAATGGTTCCCTGCTCTCAACTGGATAATCTAAGTAGACTACTAGACTTAAAAGGGCGTACCCAGTGCAGAGAGCTCCCGCTCTGTGCGGGGTCTGGGGAAGGGTGTCCGTGGCAAGCCTTACCCTCGCCTGTGCAATGCGAGGAGACCGCGACTCGAACCCGGGACCTTCCGGTCACAGGCGGTAAGCCTACCGCTTGCACCAGGCCCGCCCTTCAAGTAGACTACTGGACTTCCAGCCAATAAAAGTTATTGCAGCTCGACAACCAGCAGGCTAATTTGGCAAATTGTGGGTGGCTGATTATTAAGTTAGAAATCATCTAGCTAATGAATGATACTCCTAAGTACCACCAAACCAACCAAATGCTAGCAATGGCTACACAAATGGTTAAGGTTGATATTTAGCTAGTTATGTCTGGCCGTTGCCTTTGCAAAACCTAATGCAACTCAGTGGTTGTGACCATTATTAGAACAAAAAAGAGTTGGTCTAATCTGGCTCAAAAATTGCTGAAGCTCAGAAACTTCTCTACATACATTAGTGATCACTGATCAGTTCATTAGAGAAAATCTGATGCGAGCTCAGAGTCCAGACAAAACCAAGCTGATTTAACCCCACAAAAAATATGAGTAAGACAAACTAGAATCAAGATTTGTGTGATTGTGTAAGCAAGGAATATCCCTAAATACCTGAAGCTGAGTTGACATGTGTTTCCCCTATATGTGGTTCTGAAGTGGGAGCTTTAACATCTCCACTATGGCCAGTAGTATCCTTTGTAATTCTGAGACAAGAAACATGCGAAATTCAAGGAATAAATGACACTATGTTAGTTTACGGTAGATAAAACAAAATAACATGAGTATAAAATAATCCAGAACAACGATATGATTATCTAATGCTATCAATATCATGGAACTGAGGATTACATAACTTCACGAGTGCAAAACTTTCCAGTATGAAGAACAGTAAAAGAGTGATACAATACGTGACTGATAGTGACATCGACCACGTAATCGCATAAGCATCATTATTTAGGTTAATTACACAACTTTTGCAAAAAGTTATTATATGTTTAAATTTCAAAGTTGGAATTAGATCTTACATAGAGAAACTGTAGGTGGAATTTACAGCTCGACATATATTACTTAATCAGTAAGCTTATAACAGATGGTGCTGGTGACATTTAATGAACGCTAACATAAGCTTGTAAATGATGGTGCAATTGCAGCAAAAACTGAATTAAACAGTAAGAATTGTCTTATGCAAAAACTGACCCTGTGGAAGACACATCGTTACCCTCTGCAACTTTATCTGCACATGTACCACAATAGAATATTTTAGAACAGGATATTCACAAATTCTATAATCATTATACATGGCTAAAAACTGGGTAGAATATCATGAGATAACCAGGGTGAGGAGTCAAGGACAACTGGATAAGGAGATTTTACCGGGGAGAATTTCAGATGCAACTTGGTATTCTTGGGGTGCATTCCCATTGTTCTTTGCAAGGTCCACGGGCTCAGTAATACCCTTAGGACAACAAAAATGCACTGATAAATAAAAAATAATACTTGTGAAACAAACTACAGAAAAGGTTTTGAGGACACATGTCAATGAATAATGATTTTTTTCTGAATTCGCATCCACATTTTCAACAAACAGAGGCAAGTAGATTTTATACTACAAACTGAGAAAAGTAAAATACAGGCAGAGGTAACATAAGTGATCATGTATTGTGTTAATAGGAGCAGCTAGGGGCAACAGCTTAGTGCACAATGTATCAAAAAGGTTGGTATGCACATTGGCCAGAATTTACTATTTTTGGAAGACTAAAAGGCATCATGTGTTCTTATCAATAAATGTATAAGCCACTTGCTATGTAAATAGTGTTGCTACTGACAACAGAGTACTGTGCTATATCAAACTGAGCCCAAATGTACAAGTATAATGAAACAAACATAAAACAAAAATCATGAACTACTCACATCAGTTCTATCTTCAGTTAGTGTAATAGGTAAGGAGCATCCACCAACTGGTTCTGTTGCTGCAACTTTCTCAGACCCTGTAGCCAATATACAACAAATTAGTTTTTCACAGTAAAATAGTGCAACTAAATAAAAGAAAGTGAAGCATCAGTAGAAAAGAATAAATATCAAAGTATGCAGCCTGAGTGAATTTGGAGTCAAAAAAGAGCCCATAAGTGTAAAGAAATTTCACCATTATGGGTTTCGGTAGGATCTCCAACTTTCTCATCAGTGCCCAATGAGAATATAGAGGTGTTATTCTCAAATAATCTGGAATTAGAACCATAATTCCAGAATTTAGGAGCATCAGCAGAACCTCCAGATGATCCAATGTGAGCTCTTCGTGATTCCTCCAATTTTGTCCAAAAGCTGGAAAGGTAGTCCTCCTTTGTGGTTACCTTTACAAGGTAAAATACTTGGTTAGCAGTGAATATGCAAGCACAAGTGAGGCATCATTTAACCAGACAGGTGTCAAGCAAGATAGTGATTAAGAAAAGGAAAGCCTATATCATGTAACACACCGTTTTCCTGCCTAGTAACATGAGTTTTGTTCTTACCAACTTCAGTTGGTTTTCCTTTTCTTAGAAATGTTGTAAATTTATACAGTTCATATAGAATGCAGCAATTTCATGGTATAAATTTAAGACGGTTGAAAGTGACCAGTAGCAGCTCCATCACATCTCATTCAAGACCATGGAATACAGATCAATATAACAAATCATCAGTACTTCAAGTGCTGATGATCATATAAAGTTGTGAAGTTCATCAATCTTAGAACAGCTCTAGTGTGAGCAAAACCCTATCTGTGAGCTGTGAAAACAGCACTTTACACATTGTAGCATTCGACTGCTATGTGTTAGCTAAAATCAACGCCCAAACACGAGGCGAACGAGAGGATAAAATAACCCAGGAGCTAATTGCATGAGTGCTATGAGAGAGAGGTGGGCAGAGCGAAATTGTTTTATATTTCATGTACGGGGCCATCAAAACGATGTCCACGCTAGAGTCACCGAACTGCCATGGATTGAACTTTACATTCTCAAATCAATTTTACAATGGAACTGCCCTTATAAGAGATTAACATTTTGTAAAACTAAGAATATCTCACAGATGATAAAAATATTGCCACAAAAGCCTAGGGCTGTACGTAAGTGTGCAATGCCAAATTCAATCAGTGACCTTGACCCAGCATAAATTTCTTTTTATTACCTTTGTTGACGAGATAGAGTATTTGGAGGGTGATGTGTCAAACTTCTGATGGCCTAAGAATGGGGATTGCCAAGGAGGTAACGACTGCATGTATGATTTCGCTAAATCAACTGGAGTACCCATGTCAGAGTCATCGCGCTGCATGAGACGGCAATACGTAAAGAGTAAGAAACAATTTATCCAACCATAACCAGCAGTAAGTTCGCCAATCACCAAAAACCAATAGGTTTACAAAGAATAGAAGGAATATATATTTATACTCACAGAACTAAATATATCAGTATTTAATGTGCATGGCCCATTGTCTTCAGGCTTTAAGCCCAGTCCCTGCCTTTTCTCTTCCAACCATTTTTTTGCTTCCGTAACTGCTGCAGTGCATAGCTCAGGTGATGCTTGGAGTGGAGAGCCTGGAGAAAAACTACCAGGTCCCATTCTCATACTAGAGAGTGGAACTGATTCAGGGAAATTCCGGTCACAGCTCAAGGAGCGCCATGTTCCTGTAAAGTCGTGTGCAATGCCTGCATTCCTACTTGGGATTTCTTCTGGCTTTCCATACTCATGGGCTTCAGGAAAAGTAGAATCTCTGACTCTTGATTTTATTAACTCTACCATCCTATCACATTCATCCCTGCAAAAAGAAAAAAACACTAATTGTTCCAAGGGATAGCGCATCTGCTGAAGATATCACCAATAAATCAGGTTTTAACATACTGATGGATCTACCCAGCATAAAAATCACAACACTTGTCAATAAATAGCATCTAGAGCAGTTACATTACATAAGGGTAAGGTAGCATAACATGTGTAATGATTTACAGTGCAAGCTTTTGTTAGCCTTGTATTTAAGGGTCCCTACAGACATCTAGTATGAACTTTAAAGTTTGTCCATTATAATCCATTGCACGGTATACACAACAAGGATTACAAGAACTTGACCTTAATGAATCTAAGGATGCACCATCAACAGACTTGATGAACGAGATGTCAAAAGAAAGAATTATTTTAGTGCCACACTTAATTGTAGTAGGTTGTCCAGAAAAAAAATGACATTATACATGTTAGCCCACATATAAAAGGACAATAGCAATACGGTTACCTTGAGAATGTTTCCTTCATAACCATTTGCTCAATAGCAAGCTTTGACTCGCTAAGAGGAACTATTGCTCCATGAGTGTCATGAATATCTTCATTTTCATCTGAGTGTGGACAGCATATATAGTGATGTGAGGACACAATTAATAGTCAGCAGTATACGAAAGGCAATGATCAGATGATACAGAGAGCAAGGTCTATTATTAAATAAATTTGTCTGTAATAAGGCGTCATAATCAAATCATGATGGTACAAGCCTCAAAAGGAAGTCTTAACATTACTAAGATCGCTAATCCTCCTTCTGCTTATTGGCTAAAAAAGATTGTCCAGCATTACTAAGGTCAAGACTGAGATCCTCTAACCACTTTACAGGAAAAAAAATACAGGAGGTACGGAAATTCTACACTGAAAAATATGTAGAGAAAATCACAGAATTTCCATCCAAGAACCTGAAGCTCCCAAATTATGTTCACTCTGAAAGTTTTTTTTTTTTTGAAAAAAAGACTCTGCTCCACTTATCCTGAATTTCAAGGAGTAATTAGCATGGTGCCTGGTCATTGAATTCATGACTTCAATTCTGATTTCTGACACATATTGACTGATGTGATATGTACATGTACCAGATGGATTGGTGGTACTAATACTGAACTTTGGTTGATAGAAGCCATATGCCACTTCAATGAAATACATTGAATGTACAGTATGCACTACAGAGATATGGTAACTCGGCATTTCATATCAATCCATGCTTGTCCCTGGTGGCACCAACCGAAATTCTACTCTACTGGAGTAAAATTCTATGCGCAATTCATATATCCAAACCCACCCTTTAGCCAACTGTGACACCGAATTAGCTAAGATTCGAAACCTCCTAGCCTAATTTGAGCAAGTCAAGACGAAACCCTAGGTCGCGAAGTCGAAGCAGAGCAGCAACTCGTGCATAGTACTCGAAGCTACAATAGCACAGTCAGACAACCAAGCGGCTCACTGAACTGAACGACGGAGTGAGGGAGCGAGAGAAGAAGAGCGTGGACGAGAGGAAGGAAGGAGAAATTACTCAAGCCGACGCCGTCTTCGTCTTCGTCGTCGTCGTCCTCCTCCTCCTCCTCCCCCGAGCCGGTCTCCTCGGGCGAGGAGAACAGTAAAACGGAAGAAAAGACACTCTTCGCTCCGGAGACGAAGCCGGCGAGCCAGCCGGGGCTAGTCCCCGTCGCCGCGCCCGCCTCCGCCGCCGACGCCGCGGCCTCCTCCGGCGAGAGGCGGCGACGCTGGGCCCTCCCGCTGCCGGATCTATCGTCCTCGCCGTCGTCCTCCGGCGATCGCCGGCGGCGAGCCCCGAAGAGGGACGCCATGGGAGGGGCGGAGGGATGGGGAGGAGGAGGAGCAGTGTGAGGCGACGAAGAGTTCGTGAGGCGATTTTGGAAGAGGCGCCGCGAACTGCTATGGCCACTGCTTTTAGCGGGAGCGTGGCGGTGACACCTGCCAGTGACAAGTGGGACCGTCGTCTTTGCGTGCGTGTTCGGAGCCCACCCAGCAGTGGGCCGCTCGTTAGACCGTTGCCTTGTCCGGGTGACGTGGAACTAAATCGGACAAACTGTGCGGACGACGGGCTGCCTGTGAACCGCCCTTTCAACCTCCAGTCACAATCAACACACAAGCAGCAACCGTACACTAGAATGAGGAGTGGGACCCATTCTGTTTTATGTTACTGTCCCTGTGTAGCTTATCCAGCGTGCGAGAGATCGTGTGAATATTTTTCTGGTAACCGCCGGTGTCCGGATGGGCGGAGATGGGCGTTCGAGCCATTCGATGACATGTGGGATCGGCTTTTGTAAAGGATAAGCTTGTGGGCTCGGCTTCGGTAACATGCGGAGAACTCGGGCTTACTGTGACTGAACAAATCAAGGCTGCTCTTTGTGTTTGTGAAAATATACCGGAACATCCTATATCAAAAAAAAGAAAAGAAAATATACCAGAACAAATGAGCATGTTTTTGCCCGGCTCGTAGTGAGGCTGCACTGAAAACTCGGTGAAAGCGCAGTGAATTGCTCTTGGGACGCTCCTGCTTAGGCGGAGGAAAGAGTGGCGCCATCGCGTCGGAGACATTGAAGACGCTCGATCGCTTCTCGCCTTCTCCTTCAGCGTTGGCAGCTTAGAGACAGGGACAGAAAGATTCATGATACGAATCCGATGGATATGGAACGTGGCTTCCGATTCCATCCTACAAATATGGAAATAGATTATTACCTTAGATAAGTTTTCAACGCCTATAAGTTTGAACCATGGTATCTCCCTAGTGACACTAAGTTTTCTCGACCCAGCGATGATACATGGTGCCGAAAAAAGGAAGAGGCAAATCCAGCGCACAATTAGAGCATGAGGAGAGCATCAGCTAGGACTACAACTACACTAACAACGACCTGACCTACGATGCTTATTACCATACAAATAAGAACGCTTGGAAAACAAGTACACTAGCAAGTGTCTCAAAGTCACCAACCCACACATTGCCGATATCAATGACTTCACCACCGACTGACACCACCTTCCACTTTATCTCAGGACTCCCTTGAAAGCTTTTTATTCTTTTTTTTTTTTGAGAAATCGACGCCTGACCTAGTCCTAAGTTCTTCAAAAGTGGTACCAAACTATTGAGATACCACCTCTTCTAAGGACCCTATACCCACTCTACTACTATTAGACCTTCACAACAACAAGCATATGAGATTTCTCTTTCTACACAGAAGAACTTAACGCTTTATTCACTTACGTGGACTTGATGAAAAGGGATGCACGCTTCTTTATGTGGTGGCTACACTACCTATACCTAGTCTTCATGACATCCTACCATGACATGTGCTTGACATCACACTTATAGTGGCATGGTCCTAAGGGGTTGAAGGGAACCCGTACTTACAGTTTTACATCTCTAGAATTGTGACATGTAGCACATTTCATATATATTGTTCTGAAAAATATCTATACTAAAAAAATTTCTCATTTTATCTGGTTTCTAGATATTTTTTTTACCATGTAAAAATATATAGCTCTAGAATATTCGATATTTTATCATGAAGCATGGTTAGTATCTTTTTCCCTTAACGTGAAGATAATTCGAGAGTTTTCCATGTCAAATATCTTCTCCACTGTAATCATAAAATTCTTCTAGAAACTTCCAAGGTAAATGACTTTTCTCAATTAATCTCCAAACTCTTACAGATGTCTGTCGACACTACTTATTCCTCACTACAGGCTTCTAAACTGCTTTAGTGGTGCTGACATTCATGGCGAGGCTCTGCTTGTGTAATAACTAGCATAAAATGGTTAATGTCCTCAAATAAGTTATTCAGCCTGTTCGCTTGTTGGTTTTAGCCAGCCCAAACCAGCCAGCCAACAGTGTTTTTCTCTCACAAAAAACCAGCACCAGCCAGTCCAAACCAGTACCAGCACCAACCAGCGAACAGGCCCATTGTCTAGGTGAATAGGTCATTGCAGTTTACCTTTTCTACTATACTACACATTCTTATAGGTTTCACTCATAGTGTTGAAAGGATCTAGATGGCTAAAGGAAGAGGGGGTGAATAGCCTATAAAATTTTCTCTACAAACCACAATAGTAAAGCAAAGATTGATTAGTACAATATGAAACCCTAATAGCAACCCGTGCCGTGGTGTCCAGATCTGCGACCGTGGTGGCCGAATCTGGCGAAGGTGCGGTGGTGCGAGGCGGAGGTGCGGCGGTTCCTACTCCGGAGAAGGTGCGGTGGCCATATCCGGCGACAGCGGACACGCACACGGCGGATCGAGCAACCCCGGCGGCGACGGTGGCGTGCAGCCCAGATCCAGGCCCGGGACCGGTTTGGGCTGTGGGCTTTTTTCCTTTTCCTTTTTTTATTTGATTTACCGAGACGGGCATTTCAACTGCCTCGGGAAAGATCGATTTGCCGAGACCTTTGAACCGAGGCAATTGTGATGCCTGCCTCAGTTAACCCATTTCACCCACCTCTAGAAAAATATATGTCGTAGTGTTTTTAGCAAAACGGACAAAGGGAGGATTAGAGTATTGGGTCTTTTTTTGCTCCAGTTACTCTCTATAAGGATTGAATTCCAAGATTTATTATACAACCATGAGGACTATTGGCTATAGTCTTGGCGCTCATTATTGGTTACCAAAATATGCAAGAGTGATTTGACTTGTTGGCTATGGTTCTAGTCCTACCATGGTGTGTGCTATGCCGTGACCATGTGTGACACTTTTGTTTTTGGTAGGAATCTATCCATATTTGTTTGTTATTGACACATCGTGACTGCTAACTTATTAGGAGGACTCTAGAAAAGTCTTACAGTGAAATCTTGCTGGCTTACCCAGAAAGTGTATAATGGGTCCATAATATACAACACGGGCACACGGGAACCATGACCCATTTGTAAAACTAAGCATACCTTGTAGAGTTATTTAAAATTGTATAATGGTCGTGCTCTGGGTCATGAACGTTTGAATTCTTTTTAATTATATGATTACCGTGGATGGTTTAGATTATGTCTTAGTTACTTCTATTCACGTGGGATATTTGAGTATATCCTAGCAAACATAGCGATCTGAGTATAGCTCAGCTAGTTGGGTTTCTTGTGGGAAACGTATCCATCTAAGTTGAAGTCCTCGACTAGACACGGCCACACGGGTGCTCGTATTTTTCTTGATTTATTTTCAAGATTTAACAGCCTATTCTTTTCAATGGTGGGTGACGTGGGCGTCGACAGTGAGGTGTCTATGTTGACTTCGTCAATTTCGAGATTTGCCGATCCAATTTAGTTCTTCGGACGTGCTCATAGCGGTAGGGTGTGCCGTGTGCGTGCATATGTTCATAGGGGCGAGTGTGCACTCTTATATATACGTCCATACTGGTTTCACAAAAAAAATCTAGGGTTATAATAAATAAAGTGTAACAAACTAAAAGTGTTTGCCCCAATATAGCCTTGTCAAGTCTTTTGAACTTTGCATAAACTCATGTTATGTTTGTTAAGTATGATTATATCACTTGCCAAGTTCAAGGACCTGTGCATGAATTTTACTCTATAATATATGTCTGCTGCAAATCATAATTTCTACAAACAAATGAGCCAAGTTATTCTACAGTGCGGAGATATTATTTTCTCTCAATTCATCATCTCTAGCAGTAAAACAAGTAGTACTGCATACATGACATTCAGGTAAGTGGTAACCAAACAGATTGATCAAGCAACTAAAACATTGCAAGTAACCAATGCATTAGATAAGATTTCTATTGTCAGCAATTGAGCATCATTTCTTCTTTTCTTTTTTCTTTTTAGAAAAACAACTAAGCATCACACTCCTGCACTAACCAAGCAAATAAGACAAATAATGTAAGCAGCTGCTCAGCACAATGTGCCGACTTTACAATTTACACGCCACAGGCTCCTTAAAAGTGATCTGCACTTGCTCATAGAGATCTTGCAGTGCTAAAAAACATTGAAATACAAAGCCATCTGATCCAATATAAAAACAACTCATCTATGACTGTGAGGGCATTTATTTTTAATGTTTTGAAGTGAGATATTTTAAAAAATATATCTGATAAACAAGAAAATACATAGAAATGTTTGCGATGGGCATGGCCCATGAGACGAATACTCCGAGGTACAAGGTCATCACAAGATATATGGAGGTTTACAAATACAAAAGATAGATTACGCACATCTTTTGAAGCCAACCATTTTTGTGACTGCTAATTACTCTCCAGCGCAAAGGCAGTGGCATCGAAGGTGTCGGATAGGCCAGTGCCAGTCTTAAAGGTAACCTTCTCCGGCGAGGCCTCAGGGACATACACCTCGACGACACTGAGCAAGAGCATCAGCTCCTTTGTCTTCATGCCGGTGATCTTCCTCAGCTTGTCCATCTCAGCGAATGCCGTCACCTCAGCGGCGTACGACACGGTCTGCTCGATCTTCTTGAAGGTGTGTTCCACCTTCTTATTCCCCTGCACCAGCCACATGAACCCTGTCTGGCGGTTGTACCCCAACTCCTGGATGTCCTCGAGGGGCAGGAAGCCCTTGGGGAGGCCGAGCTCCTCCAGCAGCTCGATTGACTCTTCCTGCTGATGGCGTCTCCTCCGGTGACGACCTCAGCACCGGCACGGTGGCTCTGGATGGCGTAGACTGACTTTAGGTCCGGTCTTTGCGTTTGATATCCTCCCGCTGCGACTGTGGGCGGGTATTAGACATGTATAGTCTAGTCCTATATACATTGTATTTAGACATGGTGTACCCCTAGCCTATTGGGCTATATATATGAAAGGTCACCCCCTAAGAGGCTGTGAGGTGTTTCCCTATCTCTCTGTCTCTCTACAGACGCCATGGTCGTTCACTAGATATTTGTTGTGCAGAACTAGATGTGTGAGCAAGAAACGTTCGTAGTAGCTGATGCTGCTTTTGGAGGCGATGGAATGCTTGTGTGATAGGAGAAGGAGCTGCAACACATCTATATAGGCATACAGCTTCTATAGAGAAGCAGCGCAGGGCGGGCAGTCTTATGTGACTTTGTTTGGCAGAGGGCGTCGAATTTGACAAAATCAACATTGCCACCCCTGAATTTCTTTTGTGACAAACAAAGTCAAGATTGCATCTACTGAATTTTGGATTTTGCTATGCCCTGTTTCTCTTCTCATGTTTGAAATCAGAACATGTACCTGCTGAGCTAGCTACCTATTATGAGAAGGAAAAAAAACAAAATTTAATTTAATAAAGTTCTGAGGATCCTCCAAAATAACTGGGTATTTTTTTTCATTCTTTACATTACAAGATACTAGATGGGCGTCCATACTAGATACATGTACACACCATCACACAATTCTGAGTTTACCATTTATCTTCATATCCATCCGCATGAATCACTGGAGCCCAGCCAACAAAAATAGAACAGTTCAGTAGAGAGGTCAAACATTGCACATCTTACTCGACTGAATCTCATTCTCCCTTATGACTGAAGCAGAGTTGACAGCATTCTTCAGAAAATCACACCATACTTACTTATAATAACAACACTTGGAAATAAACATGTGTACTGTGTACATCGTCATCAGTGACTTAACATGGATTGAGTGAAAGGCATGCGGACAGTGACCAAAATCTGTTCTGAACTTGCACCTCGATCAAGGTAGAAAACAGCAAAAGGCAACAAAATCTCCTTCTGGCATGACAGATGGCTGAAAGGGATATCACCAAACGAAATTGCACTCCGCATGTTTCAACCTAGCGTGGAGGAAAAACCGGGAATTCTCACAAGCTGGATGGAAGGCAACGCATGCGGTGAATGACTACCAGTCCACAGAGAGGAGATACTCAATTCGTCAAGCTATGGTCTGCTGTCCTCGAAGTACGCTCTCAAACCAGTCGGATGAAATTTTCTGCACAGCACAAGGATCGGAAACCGACATGGCCAAGACCCAAGAGCGCATAAGAAGTGCTCTTTTCAGGATTACGCCACCTTCAACTGGAACTCAGTTTGGAAAATAAAGGCACAAAACAAGTAATTCCATCAAAATCGGCCCATGAGCCTGCTCGACATCTTTAATCACGAGGCTGGTTGACTTGGCAGCAAGGCTAATAGACAACTCATCACTATCTCTGCCAGTGGTGTCTCTGCTGGTCTGGTATGTGCCGCTCCACAGCCCCAAGCTAGTTGAGCCACTGCTGCTTTCCATGATGTAGTGAAAGGGGTTCACGGGCGGGACGATGGCTATCTCCCCCTCCAACATCCGTACCACATTACATCACACTCTGGCACTAACCAAGGCCATGTTTAGTTCCCCCAATTTCCAGAATTTGGCACTATGCAAAAAGAAGATTCCCCGTCACATCAAACTTGCGGTACATGTATGGAGTACTAAATGTTGATGAAATAAAAAACTAATTGCACAGTTTGGTTGTACTTTGCGAGACGAACGTTTTGAGCCTAATTAGTCAACGATTGGACAATTGTTATCAAATACAAATGAAATGCTACAGTGTATCTGGTTTTCAGGCAGCGCCAACTTCGGCCGGAACTAAACGCGCCCCAAGCAAATAAGATACAGATATTGTAACTGTCAAGATGGAATGCGTGGAAGCAACAAGCTTAGGTCCAGTTTGTTGCGGCTTCCCCAGGTTAGGGGGTGGAGGGGCTCGTCTTCTCAACTATAGCAATACTCTAGGAGCCAGAGTCTCTCTGCAGTTCATTTTAACCCGTAAAAGCCCAAGCCATTTTAGTGCTACAGTACTTGTTTTCAACTATGCTCAATAATTAAGGATGAAAACGGGCGAAAATAAATGGAAAATACCTCTACCGTTTCCGTTTCTATATTTTTTTTACGGAAACATGAGCCGGAGCCAGACAGACAGGAGCAAGAAACGGTAGCGGGATAAACGGTAATATGAAAACAGATAAATACGATCGGAAAATCTATGGAAATAGACGGTAGTGGGGAACTTAAGCTGGGATTACATATCACGTATGAGGCTTGGGAGGAACCAGTAGTTCCTTTTATGATTTTTTTTCCATATGTAAAATTAATTAATTAAATATAATTAAGGATAGTTTAGTCATTTCACTGGTATACGGAACGCACACATGCATCAGTGCCAGAGACAGTTCGGCGGCTTGCCGCTAGCCTGCACGAGGCGCACCGCACTGGTGCCGGCGTCTGTCTTGCCCAGGCTCAGTGGCTCACCATCGCTCGCCTGCAAGGGTTTGCGGCTTTGTCGGCGAGCTGCAAGGGATCGACGCTGCCCGGCGCCCGCCTGCATGGGTCGCACCGCGGCAGCTGCCTGTCCGGGCTCGCTGCCAAGCCAACCATCTCAAGAGGCTGGATGGCGCCCGCCTGAAAGGTCCTGCCGCCGGCCGCTGCAGGGGATCGACGACTCGATCCGAGCTTAGCAGGGGTCGCTCGCCTGCTCTCCCAAGGGCTCACTGGCAACGAGATTCCTATCCTCATCCAAGTAGAAGTGCAGAACAAATTATTGGAGGTGACAGCTGATGATAATTGCATTGCGGATCAAGTAGTGTGATTTTGCATTCTAGAGATGTTCAACACAGGCAGTGTGAAAAAATAGTGAAGTCAATACAACAGTTATGAATTCTGATTCTCTAAGCAGAGTAGCAAAATCTATGATATCGGGGGCAGATTGTTAATACATAGCCTTCCTTTTCCAAAGTGAGATTTAGCATTACATGTTTGTTCAGTTGAATTTTCTGTTTATTCACAAATACAGATTGTTTATCATTGCCTCAAAAGACTGTTTATGTTCTTCTTCGACCTCCGGCGTACGCTCCTGTGCCTGCGCCCTGCTCTTCTCCGGGGTACGCTGGAGAGTCGCCTTCATTCCTACAGGTGGTCCAATAGTCGGTTTCCGCTAGAGGATGGGGGCAGCGCAGGAGGCACGAGGTTTGCTCCTTCCCAGCGACGACACGATCGATTGGGCCGGCACCGCCACCGCTGATTAACTTGGTGTGATAGGTTCTACCGATCAAAATACCATTATACCCTTTCGATAAATATAGAAATCAGTTTCTGGCTCACTAAATTTAAGTTCCGGTCCACAACTTAAGTTTCTCTCGTTAAGTTCCTTTACATTTTTTACCATTAGATCTAGATGAACGAAAGGCTCTAATTATTCCCAAGCACCGTAAAATTTCTCCACGTATGGTAACCAAGATACAAAAATAAAAGGAATAAGTAAACAAATAATAAATCTCACATGATTAGTAAAGGTGAATAAGCTAAACTGCTTACCTTGGCTACTTCCTGCTGCTACGCTCTAAGTCCTTAGTCCTGACCGCCTGTGCTACACTGCATGCACACATGCTGTCACACCCAGAGCCAAGAAACAGCAGGACGCCAAGGGCTAAGCCAAGGCAATTAGGCAACAGGAACGAGCTTCAAGCTAGTTGTCAGATATTTAGGCGAACGGTACTAGCTGACTAGCAAGCAAGTAGCGAACGGGACATGGGAGGCCGAGAGGGAGGCAAGAAACAGACAACAAGCTAGCGATGGATTCTGTAGCCGGGCATGGAGCGACGATCGATGGAGCGGGATCGAACAGGAAGGCGGCGATCCAGTCGAGGATTTGGGAGGCCGCGAACGCCAACTGAGAGGAACCAGGGAGACCAGCTGATAAGGGAAAAGTACTGGGCCTATCCCGGTTAGGAACAAATCGGGATGAATACGGGATTATCCCGGTAAAAATATGGTATACCGCAAATACGGACGCATAAATACTCAACTGTTTTCGGTCCCGGTTCTGATCCCGTCCCGATTCCATATTTTCCCGAAAAAACGAAAACTGTCGGGATGAAAAAACTATATAGTTGCGAAAGAAACGGGATTCATCCGGCCTGTTTTCAACCTTATCAATAGTGCACCCGGAGCCAGAGCCAATAGAAGCTTGGCCAAACCGTGCTCACTGCTCAGCATTACGTGGCCACCTCAAAATTTACACGCCACATGATCAATGTTTTTCGATAATGGAAGAATATCGGACTTCATCCCTACAAGTGAGGAATCATACCAAAATTATTACATGACATAAATGTTTAAAACAATAACAGTCTCAGAAGCCAAATAAAATTATTTTGTAATCTCCTACAACTAAAAAGAACAAAACGTGGATATTTTTTTGTGCGACATTTGTTTTGGTTCGTCCGTCTGCCCACGCCTGCGATACCCGCCTGCTTTGAAGGAAACAAATCGATCACCTAAGGTCATATGCATGAAAGGAAATAATAATCATGCATCGAAATCATGTTGCTCTGGAAGGGAGGTACGTTGATGTTCTTCAAAGAATCACCGCCTGCTTTGAAGGAAACAAATCGATCACCTGAGGCCACATGCATGGAAGGAAACAATAATCATGCATCGACCCCTGCGATATTTGTTTTGGTTCGTCCGTCTGCCCACCCCGACCCCTACGATACCGCGGCTAATAAAAAAGAAAAATCCCCCCTCGTCTCTCTCGTGACCTGACGCCTGACGGCGTTCCCTCCCCCTGACGGCCGACGACGCTCGTCCCTCCCGGCTGTGGCGATGCTCCTCCCTCGCAGGCGGCGGTGGCGCTCCTTCCTCGCTGGCGACGGCGGCGCTCCTCCCTCACAGGTGACGCTCCCTCTCACGGCGGCTTCCCATCTCCAGCGAAGCTTTTGAGAGTTCGGCCTCGGCGCAGCCAGATGCGCGGGCACGACGGGCCCTGGCTGCATCGCGTGGGGGCTAGGACGGCCGCGCGGCAGGTACCTTCCTCTCCTAATCCCCATCTCTTCTTCTTGCGTTGGATGCTGGATGTGTGAAACCTATCTGAATGAGGAGCTAATCTGGATGTGTTGCACATGCTTCTTTGCCTGCACTTGCTGATTATGTGTGAAACCTATCTGAATGAGGAGTGAAATGGCACGGTTGAAATTGAAACCAAATTGAAGTTGAATAATTCAGCTCTGTATGTTTCCATGGCAGCTCTGTATGTTTCCCCAATGCACGGTTGAATAATTGGGACTAATCGATTTTGCTGATTATGCATTAGACATGTATCTTAGATATGTTTGGTAGATGATATGTATGCCGAAGCTGCTCCCATGGCATTGCTGCCGTACGTTAGATTTATAGCTGCTGCATTAAGAACATGTGAACTCCGATCAAACATTGTCGACTTCGGCAGGTATCCGCATGGACGCCGAGTATTTTGGTCCTGACAAATGCATGCAGCTTCTCATGAGAAGAACAAATTGAAGCAACGTGTGTGCAAACCATCTGCAGTGTGCGTGCATGACTGCATATACGTATATGCGATTAGAAGAGGTGGAAGGGAAAGAAACTGATCTAGAGTGCAAGTGCACACGACATATCTAAGATACATATATTATGAAGTAGCTCACTGTCCCCTCCTGCCCTCCATTTTCATTTTTCAGATATATATTATGAAGTAATTAGCTTGTTATAAACGTCATATATTTGAAAACAAAAACGGAGGGAGTACTTGTGCATTTTGTGTAGAGCTGCACTAGCCTAGGATAACACTGCAGCCTGTATTCTCGTTGTTTTTGCATTCACGTGTATAACTTCAGAGGAAGTGTGCAGTGTGCTACGTATAGGCTGTTTGGTCATGCTTTGCTTTGCAATGTTTCCTTTTCTCAATTCTCATGGCCTGGTTCGTTAGGTAATTCAGATAGATATGTCCAGTCAGTGGATATGGATTATAATAAAAGGGCTGAAACTGTATCTGAGGAAGAAGATGATGAAATGATGATGCTTGTTTTTCCGACGCTATATTTAGCTTCTATCAGAACTAAACAAGAACTCTATGTTACACTTCAAAGCTTAGTGGTTTAGAATATACACGTGAACTTCTTGAGGACCATCCACATCGTTCTTATCATAATTTGCGTACGGAGCCATGGATTTTCAAATCACTTATAGATTACCTTAGTTTAAGAGGGCTTTTAAAGAGTACAAGAGGGGTTACCGTAGAAGAACAACTATCAATGTTCATATACATGCTTGCGTGAAATGCAAGTTTTACTGCATTGTGTGATAGGTTTCAGCACAGTGGAGAGACAATACATAGACATATCGCAGCAGCCTTTGATGTAATCTCTTCATTGGCTTTTGATTTTGTGAAGCCCCCATCATCTGAGACCCATTGGAAAATATCGACCAATCCATATTTTGCACCTTACTTTCAGGTACATATAACAAATATATGTACTGTTTCAAAATTCTTACATTTTTCTTACGTATATACTAATTACAAATATCACCTCTTCTCTCCCTTGCAGAACTGCTTAGGAGCGATAGATGTGACTCATGTTCCGATCACAATCAGTGCAAGTAAAGCAGCACCGTATCGGAATAGAAAAGGAACTCTTTCTCAAAATGTGATGCTTGCATGTGACTTTGACCTGAACTTCGTTTATGTTTCCACTGGCTGGGAAGGTTCAGCATCAGACGCCTGGGTTCTACGTTCTGCCATTAGGTCTGGCCTGTCCCACCGTGCCACCAGCACCTGCGGCGACTCCCAGGACAGGCCCGGCAAGGTGTAGGGCCGATGGCGTGGCCACCCTGCAGCGGCACCGACGGCGGTGGTGCCCCCTCAGATCCGGTCGGCTGGCAGGAGGAGCCTCGAGCGAGATGAGGGGCGAGCAGATTGAGCAGGATGAGGAGCGAGTAGATCGACAAGGTACGCCCTTTCCTCCTCCCTAGCTCGACAAGGTGCGGCTAGGCCATCGAGCTCCGTGGCCCCCGGCGACAGCCTGGCCAAACTCGAGTGCTCGGCAGTCCCTGGCGGCAGTGCGGCCTCTGATCTAGCTACTTCAACCTTCCCCTCTCCATCGGCATCACAGGGGCGGCTCCCCCTTTTGTGGCTCTAGTCGGGCAAGCAGCAACTACAGCTCTGGCATGCTCAGCCCACATAATAGCCCATCACGCCTAGTGCTTCTCTTCTCATCTGACCCGTTTAAGCTTTCCCTGCTCTATCAGATTCCTTGTGATTCAATGATTTTTTGCAGCATGTTGATACCCCGCTTGAATGTTGCAGTAGTGCTCCTCTTCTTGAATGTTACAATTTCAATGGTGACGTGAAGTTGCAGCCTCCAAGAGCGACCAAGGATAAGGAGAAGTACCATCGGTGACTATTGTACACCGGCCACATAGGTGATGATTGCTATAGGGCATATCTTTTGTATTTTCTTGGACAAAGATTAAGGTCTAGCATCGGTAACTTCTCTAATGTGATCAAAGTCTATTAGTGTCCAAATTGCTATCCGGTGGATGCACAAATCATTTGACATTGTATAGTAAACTGAGAACTAGCTGCTTAGAAAAAATCTTAAAGAGTTCATGATAATTCTGATAGTTCTGTTGATCTATTTATCCTTTCTATCTTTACCACATCGATTCTTCTTTCTCTAAAACATACTTGATTACTCGTAAATTCATGGTTAATGCATTAAGTTTTGGATTGTTATAGATATGGACAAGGTTGTCGCTTGGCCCTTACCGAGTCGGTGAGCCTACGACGCCTCGCACTCCGTGACGATGTTAATTTCATGAATTTTGCTTTTTGGATTAAATGTCATTTTAACATTTTCATAGTATTATTATTTTATCGTGCGATCCTTATGTTTTTAATACAAAAGTTTTACTGTCCCGTAGCAACACACGGGCACGCTACCTAGTACTAAATACATAAGGCCACCCATGGGAGACGAGGAAGACCATTGCCGACTCTAAGTACGGCAAGCAAAGACCATGTGTTCTTTCTTGCCATCATAATATTGCAATTAACTCTAAAGTTGACGCTAATAAATTCCTCTGAATAAGATTTCTTAAAGTTTTTATATTTATAATTGTCAAAAATAATTTCGTTTCTTGTTTTACCATCCCGTAGAGTGAGCTGCACTTGATGTATATTAAAATAAAAAGGGACCTGCCCCAATATAAAAACCTCATCTGTGAGGGCCCGCTTCGAGAGCTTTTTATTTTTATAATGATTATATACAGTGCAAAACAAGAAATTGCGTAGAAAGGTTTGCAATAGGCCTGGCCCATGAACGAGTATGAATACTCCGGGGTACAAACGTCACAGATACGTGATGCATACATGGAAGTTTACAAATACAAAAGAAAGGATTCTAAAAAAAATACAAAAGAAAGATTATGCACTCAACATTTTTTGAAGCCAACCATTTCTGTGACTGCTAATTACTCTCCCAACGCAAAGGCAGAGGCATCGAAGGTGTCGGAGAGGCCAGTGCCGGTCTTGAAGGTAACCTTCTCCGGCGAGGCCTCAGGGACGTACACCTCGACGACGCTGAGCCAGAGCATCAGCTCCTTTGTCTTCACGCCGGTGATCTTCCTCAGCTTGCCCTTCTCAGCGAATGCCGTCACCTCGGAAGCGTACGACACGGTCTGCTTGATCTTCTTGAAGGTGTGCTCCACCTTCTTCTTCCCCTGCACCAGCCACATGAATCTTTTCTCGCGGTTGTACCCGAACTCCTGGATGTCCTCAAGGGGCAGGAAGCCCTTGGGGAGGCCGAGCTCCTCCAGCAGCTCGATTGACTTCTTCCTGCAGATGGCGTCTCCTCCGGTGACGACCTCAGCGCCGGCACGGTGGCTCTCGATGGCCTGGGACGCCATGGTCGTTGACTAGCTATTTGCTGCACAGAACGAGCTGTGTGAGTAAGAGTCGGTGGTTGTAGCTGATGCTGCTTGAGGAGGCGATGAAATGTTTGTGTGATGGGAGAAGGGGCTGCAACACATCTATATAGGCATGGAGCTTCTACAGAGAAGCAATGCATGGCGGGCAGTCTTATGTGACTGTTTGGCAGAGGGGCGTCGAATTTGTCAAAGTCAACATTGCCAGCCCTGAATTTCTTTTGTGACAAACAAAGTCAAGATTGCCGCTCCTGAATTTTAGATTTTGCTATGCCCTGTTTCTCTTCTCATGTTTGAAATCAGAACATGTACCTGCTGAGCTAGCTAACTATTATGAGAAGGAAAAAACAAAATTTAACTTAAGAAAGTTCTGAGAATGCTCCGGAATAACTGGGTATTTTTTTTCATTCTTTACATTACATGCCATCACACAATTCTGAGCTTTGCGCGCCGAACTACAAGTTTGACCATTTCTGTACATATCCATCCGCATGCATTACTGGAGCCCAGCCAACAAAAATAGAACAATTCAGTAGAGATGTCAAACAATGCACACTCTTACTCGACTGAATCACATTCTACCTTATGATTGAAGCAGAGTTAATATCATTCTTCAGAAAATCACACCATACTTACTTATCATAATAACACTTGGAAATAAAAATGTGTACTGTGTACATCGTCATCAGTGACTTAACATGTATTGGATGAAAGCATGCGGACAGTGATCAAAATCTGTTCTGAACTTGCACCTCGATAAGGTAGGAAACGGCAAAAGGCAACAAAATCTCCTTCTGGCATGACAGATGGCTGAAAGGGAGATCACCAAAGGAAATTGGACTCGGCATGTTTCAACCTAGCATGGAGGAAAAACCGGGATTTATTTTTTATTTTTCTTTTTTGGCCAAAGGCCTTGGCTCTGCTTATATTGAAAGCATAGAGTTTGCTGGGGATGCCAGCTTATACAAAGTAGAAACAAGGTTCTTAACGAAACATAAACCTCTCCACCTCAAACAAAGTAACTGAGAACCCAATGACCTATAGAACAGATGCAAAAGAAAATAAGGCGATGGGAGCTGGATGGAAGGCAGCGCATGCGGTGAATACTACCAGTCTAGCACAGAGAGGAGATCACTCAATTCGTCGAGCTATGGTCTGCTGTCTTCGAAGTACGCTCTCAAACCAGCCGGATGAAATTTTCTGCACAGCACAAGGATCGGAAACCGACATGGCCAAGAGCGCATAAGAAGTGCACTTTTCAGGATTACGCCACCTTCAACTGGAACCCAGTTTGGAAAATAAAGGCATAAAACAAGTAATTTCATCTACAGTTAGCACTACAACACCAGCTGCTCACGGCAGCTAAATGATCAGAAGGGGCTGGATACCAACAAGACCACAGGCTCTGCAATGTTTTTTTTTTCCCCGAAAGTAAAGCACGTGCTTCGTTAAGAGAAGATAGAGTTGTTACACATGCCGGATGCTTACGACGGCGAGATGCCGCAGTTCTCGAACCGGGGGACACTAACGCAGATCGCCGGCTTCAACGGCGGTGCTTAACGGGTGTACTAAGTTGGAAACCTTGCGACCAGCAGGATGAAGGGTGCGTCCTAGTCGGTGACCAGAAGCAGCGACGCAAGGCACCGGAACTCGGCAGACATGTTGAAGACGAATTCACCTGACTCTAGAATGCAACGGGCGGCAGACAATACTCACTCTCACGGTTTCACCACTTGATGCATGGGCAGACATCTTGTGGTCTGCCGTTTTGTCCCTTTATTTTTTTTCTTTTGTTTGTTTGGTTCCAGTTGGAAGTGGAACAACCCTGTACGTAAATATCCTTTCCCTGCTTCAATGACAAGGCAGAGCACCTGACATTTTTCCTAAAAAAAAAGTAGTGACTTAGCATATTTAGTTCTATCATCATGCCGTACATACCTATTATATTAAATTGGTGAGGTTCGGAAGCTGTTGACTATGGAAACAGTGAGAAAAAAATTACAGTTTCAGATAAAGAAGCCCATGCAATTTTAGCACTCATGTATAGCGTCTCCAAGAGTATCATATTTTGTCTTCCAAAAAACACGTTGTTTTTCAACTTAAAAAAAATATTAGGAGAAATAAATAAGATCATCTCCAACAGTTTCTAATAATCCAATCTAAAATAAAAATATAATTTTTCATCAGAAATCTTCTACAACTAAAAAAACAAAAATAAGATTATTTTTTTGTGCGACTTTTTTTTTTTCCGCTCCTCCTACCGTCCGTGCGATACCGCGCGTCCTCCCCGCGATCGCAGTCAGAAGGAAAGTCGCGCATGTCACGCAAATCGCGGAAATCACGCAATTGACGTCCTCCATCCGCCAAAAAAAAGAAACTCCCCCGGGCAATCAGCTCCCAGGCGATCTCGTCCCCAGTCGCGCGCGCCCCCCCAGGTCCCTCGCGACTCCCAGCCCTCCGGTTGCGCCGCCGCCACCTCTCCCTCCTTCCCTCTCGCCCGCACACCCGGTGCCCGGTGCTCAGATCGGCGCCAGGACGAAGCAACCCGGTCGAAACTTTGGCTGTCCGCCCCTCCCCGTTGGCCGCCGCGTCGGTGCGACCAGCAACCGGCGGTGGGAGCCTCCCCGGCCCTGGCGCGGCGACGCACCCGTGCGGCCGGGCCGAAAACGGGGTGCGGGCGGCGGTGCTCCCCTCCCCCATCGGGTGGCGCGCAACTGTTCCGTCCACATCTGCGACACCAAACCCGCTCACCTCGTCTGTCTACCCCTGCGATCCGCACGGTAGATAAGGAAACCACCATCCCTGCGAACGCCCGGCCGCCGGCCCGCGCGCCCGGCACTGCGCCGCCGTGCACGCGCCGCACCCGCTGCGCCCACAGCGGCTGCGCCCACGCGCCGCCGCCCTCGCCGGGATCCATCTCCCCTCCGTCTTCGCTCTGCCCTCGCGCTTCTCAGGTCTGCGCTATCGCCCGCGCCATTGTCCTCGCCCGCACCGTCGCCCTCGCCGCGAGAAATTGGGCCGGGGCGCCAGCGACGAATCCTAACCCTATCTCCTCCGTGCAAGGAGCGCACCGCGCCATCGTCCTCGCCGTGGGAGATTGGGCCGGGGCGCCTATCCGTGCCGCCACACGTCGCCGACCCCGCCTTGCCCATGCTGCTGCGCCGCCGTCGCAAGGCCATCCCCGACCTGTGCCGGCACCTCGCCCATCCTCGATCCGTGCCCGACATTCCCTGCTTCTAGGACAGAGCACTGAGAAGAAGAAGGTGCCGCCGTCGCACGCCAGGTGCTCAGGTCTTCGTCGGACCCTTCGTCGGCGACGAGCACCCAACAGGTATGCTCACCCTTCTCCTCTCTTTATGCTGTGCGAGACCGAGCACCCGAACCCTGTCGTCCTTTCAAAGATATCAGAGGTACATGTGCACGCTCAATGTCCTTTACTGGATCCGCACTTGTGATTCTGTGTGCTTTGATTTAGTGGACTTGAATATGGTCGAAAGAGCGTGCCTGTGCAAAATGATTTGCTGTGTCCGAAGGAGAAATGGATAAATGAGAAAAATGGCTAGAGAAAATGTGGCAAGTCCATGTTGCTTTATAATTATAATAACCATACGTTATTATGATATATTAAATATCCTAAAATTCTATTGTTCTTACCCTTTTATTCTTATTTATCTATAGGTGCCCAATTTTAACTCGATTGCGTTGCAATGTCTATGTATATTTCAAACGTAAATTCTCATTGTAATAGGGCAGCGTCAGGATAGCAATATGTGCAAAGAGACAGTGAGGAGTGAGGAGCGAGGAGCCACCTACTGTTACATGAAATATATTGGTGTTTCCTATTTTCTCCTTTTATTATTGGATATATATTGCTTGTGTGTACTACGAATGAGCTAGATATTACTTGTGTGTACTACGAATGAGCTAACCTGTTTTACATAGTCGACTGCTGCGTTTTCAATAATTCTGTATATTGTCAAAGGTCAACTCTTCTGTTTTTGTGTTATTTGTTTCTGTTATCTTGCGACAACATTCTGGGTTTGGAGCTCTGTAAATGATGATCTTACTCGGATTCCCGTTCAGGACATCTAAATGGATGATGCAAATTCGAGTTTCTGATGCCCTCATGCCCAAATGATATGTAGATTGTTTAGTTTCCATTTCCATTTCTAGGATAAATTACTGATCTGAATAATTGTAATGTCGTAGTTTCTTAAACTCATCCATTGGGATTCGGTTGTAGGACTGATTCATTTCTACTGTTTGATTGTTTGGGCATTGTAGAATGACGATGGAACAAAGGTTGAATACAGGCTTTGGAACCCCTTCCGTTCCAAGTTGGCTGCTGCTGTGCTTGGGGGCATTGACAACTTCTGGATTGTGAGTTGATTTGCTTATCTTGAATGTGCAAAAGTTCTATTTGCTTTCTTGTAAGTAAGAATCTGTGGCGATGTTATAGCTGACAATTTGTTAATACGTTTAGGCTCCTGGTACTCGGGTGCTGTATCTTGGTGCTGCTTCTGGCACAACTGTTTCTCATGTGTCTGATATTGTAGGACCGGTGAGCTCTCTATCACAAAAGTCTCTTACTGATTCTTGGCTTTGTTTAGTCTGTTGTCTTAAGAATTTGGATGCTGTTGCAGGATGGACTGGTCTATGCTGTTGAGTTCTCTCACAGGAGTGGAAGAGACCTTGTCAACATGGCAAAGAAGAGGACCAATGTGATCCCCATTATTGAGGATGCCAGGCACCCGGCATGGTACCGGATGCTGGTTGGCATGGTTGATGTTATCTTCTCTGAGGTAGCACATTACTTTTTATTGATTATTGATACATGATACATGTTTCTTGATAATCTTATTTGCTATGTTTGTCAACTTGGATTCATTATTTGGAACCGGTAATGCCCTTCTATGTTAGAATCTTTAATCGTCTTTGTTTTTCACACATTTGTTATTGATCATAAGTTTCATTTTCTGTTTGTTGTCCTCTGGTGCCAACTTTGTTGATTTTCTCAATTTATACGATTCCAACTGTGTATCTGATATTTAGGAATCGCCTGCCTTTGCCCCGTTTGGACCATTGTAGTTTAGAACAGTTTGTTGCTTGATGGGTTTATAATACTAAGTTTCAGTTTTGTTTTTGACATAGAACAGTAACATTGGCAGCACTACCTTGATTTGGTCATGCAACTGTGCATTGTCTGGTGCTGTTCAATATGCAGTTTGAACGAATCTGGGGATCCATGGTTATATACTTATATACATACGATTTCTCTTAGCTTCGTATTCATACACATACACTAGAAATTTTGCAATGTGAGGCAACCCTTTCTGTTGGGGGAAGGGAAATTGTAACACGTGGTTTACAACTTTTAAACGATGCGTGATTGTGTTATCCTGCAGGCTAGGATCTTAGCCCTTAATGCTTCATACTTTTTGAAGCATGGTGGCCACTTTGTCATTTCAATTAAGGTACTTTGCAGCTACACAACCAGGAGTTGGTTTTTTCTCATGTCAATTCTGTATCATCGGTTTTAGATACATAATCATGGTATGCATTGATCTAAACAAGAACAAAATATTTTGCTCAGGCGAATTGTATTGACTCCACCCTGCCCGCTAAGGCCGTGTTTGCTGCTGAAGTGGAGAAGCTCAAGGCGGATCAGTTCAAGCCTGATGAGCAGGTGACCTTGAAGCCCTACGAGCGTGACCACGCCTGTGTTGTGGGTGGCTACAGGATTCCCAAGAAGCAGAAGGCTGCCTCTTAGAGCGGAATCGGTGCTTGTCTTGCCTACCAAAGATGCTATGTTGTATTGCGGTGAAAGAAACTTTGAAGTATTAGGGTTTTATATAGCATCTACTATCTTGATAGACCTGCAGTGATGCTGGTTTAGCCGCAACTGTGTCGACTGTGAGGAACTGATGCAGTGTTGCTGGTTTAACAGCAGTTTTTTTGTTGATGCTAAACGTTTGAGCGATCAGCTTGGATTTGTTGCCCTTTGGTTTCCTTGTTATGGACTGAGTTATCTTTCTAGTCTGGGCATAACTTGGGATCCGAGTCGCAATCCTCAGCCTGCTCGAGGATTAAGAGTTGCCACAATGGCTCTTTTTGATCAAGAAGAAGGCACTAAACATCCACTAATACTAATTTTGAAGATGTTGTACATCCAAATTTCCATTATGGCCTCATTTGATGGTGTTGTGCTTCCTTTGATTAAGCAAGATTTTTGTTTGTGCAGATTCTTTTTGGGGCTAACATGTTCTCAACCAGGCTACAAATTGGCCATCAGGTGGTTACAGGCTTCTCATGGAGCTTTGAAAGGAGTGGCAGGGGCTATCTGCCCTGCCACTACAAGGGAACATCACACATGCATCTTTTTAAGGAGAATAAGGGTGATGAATCTATGATCACCTGAGAATATTTTTTTCCCAAAAGTAAGGGATATTAATAGTAGAGTTTATGAGCCTGCGGTGTCATGCTTTTAGTGACTGTTAATTTCACAAACTTTGCGTTTTGGATTAAATATCAGTTTAATGTCTTACAATATTGTTATCTTATCGTGCGATCCGTGTGTTTTTAGTATAAAAGTTTAGTTGTCCCGTAGCAACACACGGACACGCTATCTAGTCATGTACTATTTCTAAATTATCCTAACTAGTTTTTATAAATTGTGGGGTCCGCTAACACAACAGCACGGAACAAGCCAAGAATAGAGCTCTCCCTATGGACGCTCCGCCTCTGCGCCCCCCGTGCCCCCTCGCCGGCGGTCATCCCGGTCCCGGCGCCCACCACCCAGCCCGCACTCCGGTGATTCCCATGAGCCTAGCGTCCACCTCCTATCCTGCCTAGCTCGTCGACCAACCTCGCCCCGCTCTCTGGTGGTGCCTGCAGACCACGCACACAAGCTGGTCGATGTTTTAGCCCCGTTCGGCTGACCTTAAAATCTGGCTTATTCGGCTTCTATTTTCAGCCAGAACAAGTTTTTTCTCTCACAACATTTCAGCCGAAACAGTGTTTTAACGGAAAAGTGGGGAAGTCCTGAGCTGAGTTCCTCCGTCAACCTTGCGCTTATCCCCCCCCGACTGTGGTGGCCATGGAGGTCATGGCTGACCTTGACTCATCGTCGACTTGAGTGAGGCACACACCTGTTATGCGCCCTTCTTGGCCTGGCGCTGACTGATGCGCATAGGCTCAATCTACAGACCTCCCAAGCATGTAAGTTTTTTGGGCGCTCCCATCCTGTCTGCTGTCTGCTGTCTGCCACTGCTTGTTGTGTGCTTTGCACCCATGGCGTTTCAGGGACTTTCTTTCTCCCCTGGGCTTAAAATTCAGGAGGACATTAATCGCTTTTTGGGCCTCCCTGTTTCTTGCCCTGTTCTTAGCGCCTCTTCTTTTGCATTAGTTGTGGCTGTTGGCAGATGCAAGTTTAGGCTTGATACCTCTTCTGTGAGCTCCATCCTTCAGACCACTATTGGTGGCCATGCTCCCCATTTCCATGTTTCTCTTCTTGACAACCGCAACTTTAAGTTCTTAGTCTTTTCGAGACGAGTTGGTTTCTACATCAACAACCTTCGCTGTGGGGGTATAACCCAAGATACCCATGGCAATGGACATGGGCCGCAACACTAGGGGTGGTCTAGCCCATAAGAAGAAGGCGTGTGATGCAAGACACTGATCAGCATGCATCACACGGTTTTAGGAAAGAATCTTGAGGATAAAGAATGATTTTTTTTGGATATGATAGATATTGTACTCCTTGTAAATACTTACCATATACCTGAATAGATCTAGATCTAACCGACTTGTAACCCTGCCTCCCAGACTATATAAGGCAGGTAGGGATCCCCTTGAAATCATCTCATATTTAATACAATCCAACAAAGACACAGGTCGTAAGGTATTACGTCGATCAGACGGCCCGAACCTGTCTAAATCGCTGTCTCTGCGCCCTACGTCACCATCCGGTTTCAATTACACACACCTCCACCAATCATCTACTACCGTGGGTATACCCCTCGGTAGACTGCCAATCAGATTTCATCGACAGTGGCGCGCTAGGTAGGGGGTGTGCGTGTTGATCCCATGGCGAACCAGATGGCGTACCTCAAGGTCAACATCATCCACGACAAATTGGCATCTGTCGGCAGTGGCGCTCGATATACCGTTCGGCTTCTCCGACCAGATTGAATGCGGCTACGACAACGATCTCTCCGTATCTGATCTGCATAAGGCCGACCAATGGCATAAGGACGACGTCGCCTGGACTACTCGTTCCGATCTCCTGTCGCGTCGCAATGATCGCCGCGTAGAACGGCGCTATGACGACCGCGACCACTGCCATGACGACAGGCTGGAAAGCTCGAGGGCCGGACAATTTCATCGACGCCGACCAGATAACGTCATACGTCGCCGATTAGACATTTTGACTAAAGCTAAGTACCTCTACTATATCTGTATTTAATACAGTTTTCTCTAATTATTTTCTCCGAGTTTTCGCCATGCTCTTCTAATCATTATTTCTCCAGTTATTTTCTATAATTAAATGTCTTCATGTTTAATATCTCCATGTTTAAGATGTTCCATAATGCATTATCCGACCAGTTGATCGGACTATTCGGCGCTCACTTCTACTCGGCGCTCACTTCACTGTCGACCAGTTGGTTGGGCTGCTCGGTGCTCAATACTTCGCCAACCAACTAGTTGGATTGTCCGTCGCTTCATCGTCAGCTACGCTTAGGGAAAACCAGATGGGAATTTTACATCATCATCACCATCTATGGCGACGACTCGGCTCCGTGAGACAGCGATCTCAACTCAAGGCTCCGAGGCGCATTGCTCTTCGTAAGGTCTGATCTGATCCCCTACTTTTATCCAAAAAGCCTAGCTTCTCATGTGGAGTATGCAGGGTGATCTGTACCTACCACCGAGGTGCTTATACTCGATCGAGTAGGACAAGCAGCCTCGATGGCGCCGCCATGCAGCGTGACCTGTTTCTACGATTCAAATGCCAAAGTTCTCTGGAGGTCCAATGCTGTGCTTCGTCGGCACCAATCAAGGAGACGGCTACATGCGGCAAGCCACCAACATGCATGTCAACTTCAAGAATTCGGTTGCATCACCCGACATCGACTCGTCATCATCCTTCGGCGGCGCTCGTCAGCCCTCATCGATGGCTCGTGTGGTCCTCGCTATCGACTCAACATTACTAGGCAACTCACGGCGACGCATTGGGATTTTCACTAAGATCAATGTCAACAAGGAAAGGACGACGTATTATCTACAATACCATGCAAGATAAGTAAACAAACCATCACGGTGCTTTGACTGCATCTACATACAGCCTCGAGCATGAATGCAAGAAATAAATTCCCTTGCTACCGATCTACACTCACGAAATGTGACTCCAACGTCATCAATCCAAATGAGCTAAGTCATGGTTTTTTTCATTGAATATTCTAACATATATATAACTTTGTCTACCTTGATAACTGTCAACAGCAACATCGGCCCTGTGCTTTCATCATTTGTTTTTCATAATTTTTTCTCAAATTACTTATTTCTCCATGTTAAACATCTTTAAGATGACGTATACTATCGCCATTCAAATTGGACTACACCCTCGCCTTGGTCAGACACGCTCAAGGGCTTCGCCTCCCCCCGTGAATTGACTCCACTAGGCTCTGATTACGTCTGTTTGCCTACGACTCTACGTAGCCACCGTGCCACCATGCCACCGTGTCGCCGAGCCATCGAGCCGCTCGAGTCGCCATGCCACCGAGCCACCGTGCCACAGTGTCGCCGAGCCACCGGGCCACTCGAGCCACCGTGCTACCAAGCCGCTTGACCTGTCGAGCCGCCAAGCGAGCTGCTAAGCGAGCCGCGTTGTATTCAAGCCACGCCGCGCAGCGATGATGACCTCCACGAAGAACTACGTTGTGACAACAGCGACTGTCGCCATGGCGATAGGCCAGAAAAGCTCGAGGGCTATGCAACTTCATCACCGCCGACCAGTCACGTTCTCATTCGCGTTGCCCAAAAGCAGCCCTGTCCTAGCACCCAAGTATGCATGAGCAGTAGCGCTCCGCGCCATGGGCGATCAGTAGTGGCTTCTTGGTGATGCCTATATCCCCAAGTATGCATGAGCAATAGCACTCCGTGCCATGGTAGATCGACAGGGGCTCCTTGGTGATGCCTATATCCCCAAGTATGCATTAGAAGTAGTGCTTTGCGTCACAAGCGATCGGTAGCGGCTCCGCGGTGATGCATAGATTCCTAAGCGTGCACAAACATCTCGGGATAGAATGCCCCCACGTTTTGTCGGCACAGTGCTTAGCACTCTCCACGATCTCCAATTTTCGTCACGATCTCCGATTTTCGCCACGGATCTCCAATTTTTGCCATGATCTCCAATTTTTGCCATGGGTCTCCAATTTTTGCCACGGATCTCCAATTTTTGCCACGATCTCCAATTTTCGCCACGATCTCCAATTTTCGCCATGGGTCTCCAATTTTCGTCAAGATCTCCAATTTTCGTCACGGTCTCCAAATTTCTCCACGGTCTCCAAATTTCTCCACAGTCTCTAATTTTTGCCACGGTATCCAATTTTCGCCACGGTTCTCCATTTTTGCCATGTTCGCCACGGTATAGTGCTAAGCACTCTCCATGTTCTTCAAAATTCTCCATCTTTGTTGATGCGGGACCCATAGGGTTCCCCACGGAGAAGAGAGAAGAAAACATAGTCCAAACAGGATTCTCTACATGTAATC